GCACGGATCCAATCTCGGATTCGAGATTCGCCTAGACCAATCTGAGATTAGACGTAATCTCAGCTTGGGCGTTAACATATATATATATATTGTCTTGACAAGTATTCGATCATTATCGACTACTACTACATTTTGTTTTTAGTATATAGATACGCCGACTTCCGGACATAATAGTAGATAACATACACTGTTACTCTACAAATACTGATAAGATGTAAATATGTATATGCAACTGACGAGTAGCTTTCTATTATGAATAAAAAAAATATATGACAAATTGTTATTTTTGATGTATTAATTTTTTCAATAATATGAAGCGTTGATAATTAAATCCTTTTCGTTACAAGTATATCAAATATTTATGGAATGTTTTCTTGTTTATATGAAAATGTACGAGAGTATCAGTGAAATGGATTATTGAAGGTAATTTATTTTTATTTGCTTGAAAAGCTTTATGATTAGATGTACAAATAAGTTTTTGCGAGTGTTATTGTTTAGTGAGAATAAAAAACAAAGACTTCGCAATCTGAGTCTGACCATTGTCTCAGTATGCTTTTCTTTCAGATGAAATAAAATAAAAAATCCTCTCAATCAATTTCTATATAGTTGAACGCATATAAAGGTTAAACTCTTTTCTTCAGCATGTAGTTCCCTTATTTGGCGATTACTCGAATAAGATATCTCGGGATCTGAAATAGCTATATTTGCCTTTCTTTTTGTTTTGTCTATTTTTAAAAAAAATCTTTGCGTTTCTACATTCACTTCTTTTCAAATTAGATCTGCATAGGCTTTAAATGTTTTTTCTATATTTAATTAGTTAATTTAAAGTTATTAAGTATAAATGAAATGATTTTTTGTTATTTGTCTATAATGAACAACTAATTCCTATAGGATAACCCGAAGAGTCTTATAAACATCGGAACAATAAATATTGTGAAGAGCTTTTATTATGATAATCAATTTCAAATATGATTAGTTTAATTATTTTTCATCGAAGATTTAATCTTAATTTCAACTAAAATAGAAAAAAAAACTAAAAACTATTAATATGATAAAAAAAATATATTTGTTAATTGAAAAATATTATCTTTTCATTATTTATCTACTAAATGGTTCTTTTTCTACTAGAAAATACTATTATTATATCCCGTGGGTATTTCAATTAGTATCAAAATTTGATTAGTTCTAGATTTTATCGTCTATCACAACAAGTGTCTACGCAATCTATCTTTTACATCAACTGTCAAAATAAAATGAGAGAATATTGAAAATAAATAAAGAAAAAAAAACAGCCGCTCGCTCTGAATTGATATATATATAATGGCAGTCAAAATTATCCAATCACCTAAAAAAATTTCTTTATTTATTCTATATTTGACAAAAAAAAGGTGATTGGAAGTTTGTAACTTTTACCATGTTGTAGACCACAGTGTCTAGTACGTTTGTGTTTAGTTTCATATTGGAACTTCGTGTTGTTGATTTTTATTAAAATGAAAAAAAAGTATGTCATGCATTTCACGCGTCAAAATTATCCGACCACTTGTGTTTTTGTTCTATCATTGCGCTCATCTAAATATAAAGCTTTTCTTTATGTTACACCATTCGAAAGCGAAAAATGTTTTCTACTCGATGTTCTATTTGTTTTGATTGGTATAGAGAAAAAGTCTAAAAGATAGTGTTTTGAGCAGCCAGCTACGACTTTACGAGTAAAAGGCTGTGGACAGACAATTTTTTCTACTAATGATCGGGCAAATCTAATCGATAATGCACTGTTGGGAAGAGCATTAAAACTGCATTAGATAGGATGTTGAAACGGATACGGTATGATGCCTAATTGAGATGACCCGGTTCAAAATGTATACCAAATCTGTATAGTTGTCCAAATATTGACTCTATATCCGGCTGAAAAATCATTTGAAATTTTGAAACAGTTTTTAAATTGGTAGAGAATTGGTTTCGTTACAAAGGCCACTTCTAACAATCCGAAACAGATTGTATTCTCACGGTTGACAATGAATTTTTCAGCAAATATGACAGAAATAAAAATTCCCCCGTAGCTTGAACAAGAATTTGAATACATATTAAATTTAACTTGAAATTCAATCCTGTATCCATTGATACATCGTGTGTTAAAATTCTCCTCACAGTTCATTTAATATGAACCTAGGTTGTGATGAGGTGCTTCGGTGAATTTTTATTTGTATCATATTTGCTGAAAATTTCATTCTCAACCTTGAGAGTACAATCTGTTTCAGATTGTTAGAAGTAGTCTATGTAAAGAAAGCCATTCTATACTAAATTAAGGGCGTTTCACAAATTCCGAATGATTTTTCAACTGGATATAGAGTCAATATATGGACAATATACCGATTTGGTATATATTGGCTGCTGAAAACGCTATCTTTTAGGCTTTTTCTCTATACCAATCAAAACAAATAGAACATCGAGTAGAAAACAGTTTTCGCTTTCGAATGGTGTAACATAAAGAAAAGCTTTATATTTAGATGAGCGCAATGATAGAACAAAAACACAAGTGGTCGGATAATTTTGACGCGTGAAATGCATGACATACTTTTTTTTCATTTTAATAAAAATCAACAACACGAAGTTCCAATATGAAACTAAACACAAACGTACTAGACACTGTGGTCTACAACATGGTAAAAGTTACAAACTTCCAATCACCTTTTTTTTTGTCAAATATAGAATAAATAAAGAAATTTGTTTAGGTGATTGGATAATTTTGACTGCCACTACATATATTTTCATAGTTTATAGGCGTCGAATAGTCAGATCTTTCTCTTGCAAAAATATTTAGTGACAGATTATCTTAATTACGAACAATTATCATGGCTCATTTATTCTGGTTTTTACGTTATTCCATCATGATCCTTGTCGTCTTTTTCTCCGTCTAAAGATACACATTTAATAAGAGTTTCTTTTTTTTTCTGATCGCTTCTCTTGTTGTCTTTTTCTCTCTTCTTGTTGCTAGTACCGGCTACAGAAATGTCGCTAATGGCGCTGATAATGATGATAAGCCGGAAGAGACGATGTTCAATATAATCAAAAAAAGCGAGCACACGACTTGAGCGCATACATAGCTGTGTATCATTTTATTTTCCAGACGATTGTCCTAGCTACATAGACAGCACTTTAAAAACAATAGGCATATATATTGGTTTGTCAAGATATTTTTGTGATTGTTTCTTTCTTTTTTTTCTTCTTTTCATCTTCATGTACGTACGTAGACTCATTTTGTTATTTAGAAGAGATCGAATGCGAATGAAATTTTTTCTATTCATATTTCTATCAAGATTACCATATGAAAAAAATAGTTCTAATGAGGAATATAAACTTTCTAGACATGTCACAATATATTTGTTTTTGATAACTAATATTAAGAAAAGCACAAAATATTTTTTTTATTTGATTTAGACTTCTGCTAAGAAAAGTCTCTTGAGTATTCTGCCAATTGGTCCCACTCGAATAATGCACATATGTATGAGTTGTGTTTGCCATGTAAATGAGTGGCATATATAGAAAAAGCAACTGACCTATAATCTATTTTTTTTGCTTATGTTAATATTCTTTCGTGGTAGGGTTTTCTTCTTCTGATTTCGGCTGCGTCGTGACTATCTTTATATTCGATGCAAAAAGAAAATAATTTTCAAAAAACAAAAAGAAGAATTAGGAAAGTACAATATATTTTATAGAGAGTTTTACTTGTTGGTGAATGAAATAGGAAGAAAATAGAAAATAGAGAAAACGAATATAAGGAGTACACTACAAGCCTGTCGAATACAGACGGAGTATGTGAGAACAAAAGAGAGCAGCGGCGGAGGTGGGCGATAGAAAAGAAGAAAAGTATTTATCATCATGAAACCATTAGATCCGATAAACAAATTAAGTAGCATGATAGCAGGTCGGAGAGCGAGACCGGATATTGTCTGTAGTAATCGAGACTGATTGAATATTATTCTACAATATTGCTATATGAGTTTATTTTCTACTATCGACTCAATATGTTTTGTCTTACGTTATATACTTCCTGCATTTTTCCAACAACAGCAACAACAAAACTAACACTAATGTAATTATGTATTTACTTGTTCATTCGTTTTTTCACTCGACTTATAAAGAGCAAGACTATGTTCCGAAAAGTCTAGTAGACATTACTTTCTGGTTTTCTCTCATGCTTGATGCATTATTATTAGTAGTACAACGACGTCAACATTCTCGTCTCAAGCCCATACTTTGACACTTTCTTTCTTTCATAAAGTTCATTCTTGCCAATACTCATCTATCAGAAAAAAAGCATGATCATTTATAAAGTAAGTCGAAGGGTAAGATAAATCAAGAAAGACAGAAAGAGAAAAAAAATGATGCAGACGTCCGTCATCATCTATTTTCCAACCATGTTTAAGCATTGATATTTCATGATATTTATAATATTATTCTACTCATATAATCCTAGTGAAACATATTTTGTATTTCTATATATATATATCCATAGAGCTAGAGAGGTATCAATAAATTTTGAGTGCAATTTGTACACGATATTTTTCATGAATAAACATCATAAGCAAATAGATTGCAGCAATCTTTTGCACCTTATGTTAGATGCAAGATAATTTGTCACTTTCAGGATCGTGTCATCGGCAACAAAATATAAATATATATTTATACGATCGTCTCCGAATACACAGAAAAACAATAAGAAATTTTTTTTTCTCTCTTGACATATTTTGCTTTTAGTATAACGCATTCTTTCTATTTAGATTCGATTTTTGGTTTAGATGTTCCCTCGGCAATAACTTCGTTATACTTACATTCTTATTAAAAACCATCGTGTTACTGATTTTTTTTAATACGAACATTACTGTAGCTATTATTTATGAAAATGTAACAAGAATAATAGTAATATCGCATTCATTCTTGTTGTATTCGTATTCTTCTGAAGTTCAATATTTGTTTTCTATTTAACCGTATGCATTATTCACATGCAAGTATTATCTCAAATTCATCCTAGTGTCACATCGACAATAAATAATTATTCAAATGAAACATTACTATTATCGCTACACGATATTAATATCAATGCACAAGCTCGACCATTAGTTTTGGCTATTTTAATTGCTATTCCCCTATCGATTATTATTCTTTTAACTATACTTGGTAATATATTAGTTTTGATTGCAATATGCATTGATTTTGCACTTCGTTCGCCTACACATTTACTAATGGGGAACTTAGCATGCGCCGATCTTTTACTAGGTAAGTTAGCTCTCGAAAAAATATTTCTTAAAAGTCGGAAACACTTTTTTTTCCCTTGCTCTTTGTTAGAAAAAAAATTACAATTTTGTCGAGTGATTATATAAATAGACCAATTTATTTTCTTAGTTTATTCTTTAAAAAACAAATCTAAAATAAACAGTAGTATGCACGATGAATTCATAGCCAACGAAGTAGTTTTTCTTAATGTAGAACAAAACAAAATTGTATGTATGCATTTTTTTTATGTCAAGCATTAAATATGATACAATAATGGAAAGTCAATACACATATAGCTAGAAGTTCTTCAAGCATACTCAGCTATTTTTCCTTCATTTAATGCGTACCACGTAAAATATATTTAAAAAAAATGTCAAATCAACTTTTGATATATATATCAAAGTCAAATCAACTTTTGATATATATACCAAAGTCAAATCAACTTTTGATATATATATATATGTTGTAGGCAAAATTGGAATTAATTCCAATTTTGCCTACAACATATATATATCAAAGTCAAACCAACGGATGGTTTCATCGGTCAAAAGCTTTAAAAATTTCTACCGCAATCTCTAAATGAAAATTACTTTCCCACACATAGCTTCGAGGGTTCCCTTAGTGAACTAGATGTGCACCAGATGATTTTTAAAGTTATAAAAAATAACACAGGGCTTCTGGAAAAATTGTTGCTCGTTAATCTCACGCTTTAAATACGAGAATATTTCAGAGGAAAACGTATTAAAGATTATAATCGCTTGTTTTATTTTCTTGCATAAAGAAACATCTGCTTGATGTTAATAGATATAAATTGATGTCACTCTAACCCAAATAGCCAACGAAGAGAATCGTCTTTACAAAGAAAATAGCATAGAGAAGAAGAAGACGAAAAACGTTTAAATCATGCATATGAAGGTCGCGTTGAAAAAATGATGTCTCAATCTTCGTCTTTATTAAAAGATTGAACTATATATTAAAACATTTTAGTTCTATATTGAGCTAGCACGTCGTCTTTAATACTTAATGCTTATTAAATAGTATAATACGCACTTTAATAATTTATCTTTTCAACTGATTGCACTAATTGCATGCTTTTGTAGGCATTACAGTTCTGCCATTTTCAAGTACGCTTGAAGTTTTCAATGGGCGGTGGCTTTTTGGTCGAACATTTTGTCATATATGGTTAGCTATTGATGTTCTCTATTGTACAGCTAGTATTTATGGATTAATGTTTATATCGATTGAACGTTATTTTGGTGTAACATGCCCATTACGTTATCCAATTATAATTACACATCGTCGCACAATCTATGCTATACTTATAGCATGGTTTGTTGCTGCTCTTATATCAATAGCACCATTTTTAGGTTGGCACAATAAAGTTAAATCGACTGCTCAGACGTGTGAAGTTAACGATGATTTATTTTATGTTTTATTTTCCTGCTCATTCTCATTTTATATTCCATTGGTTATTATTCTTTGTGTGTATGGGCGAATTTACGGTGAAGCTACTCGACAATATCAATTTTTAACCGGTGGACAAAAACAAGTTCATTTAAAACAAACTCTCGGACAAGAAACAGTTACATTGCGTATACATTTACCGAAAAAATTAGCATCAACAGCAGCTTCAATGGCAAATGGTCATTCGGGACGATCAAAAACTTGTAAAAATGAATTAGCAACACAAGTGGCAGCAACTGGCACAAATAAATTTTCAAGAATGAAACGAGAACGAAAAGCTGGTAAAATTAAAAAACATCAAAGAAATGTCGATGAACTCATTATTTCCTGTATTTTTAGCGAAAACATTAGGAATTGTTGTTGGAATGTTTATTTTATGTTGGTCACCATTTTTTCTACTATTACCAATTAGTAAGTATATCTTTTTTTCTAAAAAACAAGTTTTTATATTTGCATCTAGTTTTCAATCATATTTATTTCTCTTCATTTGACATCCTATTGAATTATGTATAATTGGATACTAATGTATTTCACTCTACTTTTTCATTTTCTTTTAGAAGCACTGACATCTACTGATCCGGGTGTTATTTTCTCAATTTGTTTTTGGTTAGGCTATTGTAATTCATGTTTTAATCCATTTATATACGCCTTTTCTAGTCGAGAATTTCGCAAGTAAATAGACAATTAATGATTAGAAAGAAAAAAACAAATTTCAATTTGATTTTCTTCATGTTTTCAGAGCATTTAAATCAATTTTGAAATGTGAACGTATGAAACGACATAAACTATCACTCAGTTCCTATCGAATATCAACAGCCGCAAGAGATCAGTCGTGCAGAAAACGATCGAATAGTTGGGGTATGAGTGGTTCACATTCTGTGCTTCGATCATCATCATCAACATCAACTCGTCGAACATTGAGCGATACTCAAAGACGCTCTAGACCATCGATAGCATATCGTAATAGTATAAATAATTCTCATCGAATATCTCGACAGGAAAGTATTACGAATACGAATATTTCAAAATCAAAATTAGCAACCAATAATACAAGTCCATGGCATCTTCGAACAGCAACCAATGTCAGATTGTTATAAAGAAAAATAATGCGCTTTTGTTAAATATTTTGTTTTAAACTGATCCTTAGCAAATAAATGTAACTCATGTTTTATAAACAAAAGGAATACATAATTAGACTAAGCAACAAAGAAAGATAATTGGGCAAGATTTTTTGCTTTAATGATATTTTCTGTATGTCAATGGTTTGTTATTTCAGTCTTTCGTTTTAATCTGCTGTAAAAAAAAGACCAGATGATTTTTTTTGTGGATGGTACAAGTCTCAGCGGTGGTCTGTGTCTACCCTTATCGTGTGTGCGTGTCAAATGATGACGACGACGACGACGATGATGATGATGATGAAAATTCGATCATCCCGTTTGTTTGTTACACCGTATATAGCACGAGCAGGTGTCGGACAAAGCCGCAGGGCGTTTGTTTCATTTTTTTTCCTATTTGCGTGAATACGCGTCTGTTCTCTTTTTTTTCTGTCTCTCTCTATACGTGCATTGACCACTAGCTACATGTTTTCCGGTACATTGTTTTCTAAATTATAGGCCGCCTAAGCTAGACATCTAATCAGTCTTCTATCATTGAACAAGATATGAGCGCATGTGCGTCTTCTTTTTTTTTCTATTTTAAGTTGACATCTGAATGAGAAAAATAAGGATGTGTGAAACAGATTAGTCAGCTCGTCTAGTAGCTTATAGATATCGATTATAATGAAGTTAGTAGGGCTTGTCATTGACGATGAGAAGAAAAGAAGAGAAAAAGTGAAATAGACAAACAGAAGGCCATCCGGATCCGCTACTATTCAACAACGGAAATCAGAATATATGTATAGTGGTGATGATCTCCTGCAGAGCTCTTATTTAGAGAAGAAAAGAGAGAGAGAGAGAGAAAAGCAATGGATAGATGAGGCTGGGCTGTTTAATGACGCACAAACAGTCATCATTCTTGCGTTTATTCATGGTCACTTTCACAACACTAAAAGAAAAAAAGGCGATCAGACTATTTTCTAGTTTTCAAGTGTCTAGATCAATGAGTGAACAACAGTCAGGGAAAAGAAAAGAAAGAAAAAATAAGGAGGTAGACAGACTCTTATCGGTAACACTTCTCCTTTTTATATCACATGTTCATAAAAAAAAGAAGAAAAGACAGAAAAATAGAGCTTTGTTGTGATACACTGTCTTTTTCTCATGGACTCAAATGAATTAGTTTGTTTCCAATTTAAAATAAGTGTTTTCTTGCATAGACGATGACGATTTAGATGATCCTATTTGTCTTGAAGTAGTAAAGAATAGATTTTTTTTTCGAAGAGAAACTCATCTATCCTAGAGGCCATTTACTGACCGTTGTTTTATATGCATGCATGAATCCATTTGTTGAGCTTTTGCTCTCATCTGTTCTCGCTTCCGAATGAAAATCTTGAGTGTATTACATCATGCCTTAGTATTATGGCATGTTAGGGTGAATCCTATTTCGAAATTCATTCATTCATCCATCCATCCATCCATCCGTCTATCTATTTCTGCTTTGTATGAGTAGTGGCACAGACAAAAGAAGAATAAGAGAACAAGCATGTATAACACGAGATGCTTCGAGTTGCGTGACATTCAAGAAACTAAATTAAAACTGACCAGTAGTAACTAGCACTACTATCATCATCATCCATTTGTAATAATCATACTAGAACTAGTTGGGTAGGCAAACATGCGATTACACGCTTTTCTCTTGTGTTTTGCAACAATCTAATTGAACAACCGTGGATTATATATGTTTCAGCTTGTCTTTTTTTTTAGTAAAAGCAATGGTACGTCGATCTAAATTGCCTATTTGTGGTAATGGAATTGTCGAAGCTGGTGAAGATTGTGATTGTGGTCTGAATAAAGTAATTCACTTTGTTTTTATTAGAATAGAACAATCGATAATCTTATCAAAATAAACACTATTAAAGAGACCGGAAAGCTTTTATTACGATTTGATTTGGAATGTTTATCTACTAGCCGAAATCTTTTAGCCCTCTAATCATGCAAGTAAAGAGATACTGATCAAGACTAATTAAGAGGTTTTGTTTCTTTTTCCTTAGAGAAAAAAGCCTTAAAAACAAGTAATTATATTTTACTAGTTTTATTCAGCCTCAGAGTTATGTATTGTAATTAAGTTAAGGATAGTTTCGGTGACACATTTAGACTTAGCTGACACGCATATTTTGATAATGATACGTTATCCAAGAAAGTATTTTAACAAACTGTTCACTCGTAGTTCTGTCTGCCGAAGACGGAGTTTTAAAATTTAATGGAATTTCAAATCGTGACTAGTGAAAAGAACGTTGCAATGCTTGGTGAGTGAGTTCGAAAGAGTTATACGTTGTCAAAAATTACCAAGAGTAGACATAAAACTTATTCCACAATAGATCAAACATTTAAACAAAAAGGAATCTATTGATAAGTTAGCCTCAAGCCATTTATGAATTTTTGAGTGTTTCGCTAAAGTACATAATATTGCTTTTCTCAAACTCGATAGAAAACACACTTGAAAGGTGAATTTATTTGTTTTGAAAGCTCTCGATGTCTATATTAGTTATCAGTTATATAACGTATATTGTTACAAAAAAAAAATTTTTAATTTTTCTCTCGCTTTAAACGATCGATTTGTGACTTTGTTTTAAATTATAGCTGATGAAAAAATATTGAATCTGAAGTCCAGCACAATGTAAATTAAAACGATTAATATATTCTTAGCTATAGGAACCACGCGACAAGTGATTTTAGAAGATGAAAAAATGAATACAATTGTTTTTCTTCTTTTTAATAGAGTTGTACATCGGTCGAAGCATGTTGTAATCCTCGAACATGTCAATTATATTCTGGAGCTGAATGTTTATCTGGACCTTGTTGTTCCGGTTGTAAAATACTTCCGTCAGGTTATACATGTCGAGCATCTAGAAATGGATGTGATGTACCTGAATCTTGCGATGGTATTTCTCCTCAGGTATTTCAGTAAAAACTATGTATAGTATTCATACCATAGCATTATTTTCATGCAGTGTCCTGAAGACAATAGTGTTATGGATGGCTCATCATGCAACGAAAATATTGGTACATGTTTTCATGGAAAGTGTGTTGGTGCTGGACAACAATGCATTGATCTTTGGGGAGCAGGTACATTGATTTTTAGTCAATTTCTTCTTAACTTTAATCATTTAAATAGGTGCAACAGTGGCACACGAATCGTGTTATAGAAATTTTAATCCATCAGGTTCAATGACGGGCCATTGTGGTTATGATTCTCGTCTGCATAAATATATACCTTGTTTTGATCAGTAAGATTGATAGTTGATAGGATTGATTCTGAATTGTTGTGTCTAGGGATGTGAAATGTGGTCTATTACATTGTGAAGGTGGCATGCCGTATCCTCGAGTAGCATCATCGAATTTTATGATTTTTAATGTCAACACACGTGAAGGCTCATTTGAATGCAAGTAAGAAAACAATATTAAAATTCCCGAAAGGAAAATAAAATATACTGATCAAAATACATTGTTTTTACATTAGGAGTATTTCAAGTCCAACTCATTCAGTATTAACTAATGATGGTAGTATATGTGGCGAATCAAGTTTTTGTCAGAATAATACATGTATAGAACAACAACAACCAAAACGACAATGTGATTCACAAAAGACTTGTTCAGGAAATGGAGTAAGTTATTAAGAATCTCTGACTTTATCAGAGTGTTACTCTCGTTTGTGGTTATATAAAAAGAGATCATTTCATAAAGAGATGATCACTTTTTTTTCTCTGTACTAAATATATAGAATGAAAACTGACAAAAGAATTTCGAAATTACTCTTAAAATATCAGCATAGACTCTCTTCTCTATGATTTCTCTATATTCTTTAGGTATGTACTTCAATTGGCTTGTGTTTTTGTAATTCATCATGGAAAGGCAAAGATTGTTCAATATACGATAACAAATATCAAGATACATATGTATATAATCGAACATTACCATATGGACCAGGTTTGTAAATCGATACATATTTTTCTCTAATTCTGCATTATTTTTGTTTATTTTTCGTAGATCCTATTTCACCGACGACATTTTTCGGCATATCAACAATAACATTTCTTTTATTTGTCATATGTATAATCATATCTTGTGTGTTCAGGTAGATAATTTTTAAAGAAAAAAACTTTTTCAAGAAAAAATTATCATTTTTTAAATTTAATTAGAAGCAAAAATCCTCGTCCACGTCGAAAATCTCACGTAATCAGTCATCCAAAACAACATCATCCACAAGTTACAATGAATCCAACTGACATCGAACTTGATCATCGGACACAATTTGTAACGCAATATGATTCTACAAATCAAAATTTTGTTTCAACACCTGCTTCTATGCACCGAACGCCGATAAAACATTCTCCATTTATGGCTAGTAATCGATCAATAACAAGTATAGGCACAGGTCTCTCATATTTACCAACGGATACACCGCATTCTGTTCGTTTTACCAATCGAAAAAATTCAACCAATGCCATATTTAGTGATTCTGAAACACCGCGTACACGGGCACGCCGGCAAACAGCACGTTACATGGGTTCACCATATCTTACTCGAAATTTTAATCATCACCAACAACAACAAACTTACACAACATTAACATTAAAACGTCATGCTGATATAAATATTCCTTATCAATCGTCAAGAAAAATTTACGATGATATCGATAAACTTTCAACAAATGAAAACTTACGTGATTTTATTCAAGTGCTTGATTCATTGGCACAAGAAAAATTTGGCAGTACAAATATCAATACAATGGCATTTGAAAAAAACTCAATTGTTCCATCAAGTCCAACTGAAACAAATGGGTCCATTACACTTGACAGTGGTTATCAATCAACAAAACAATTAATGAATACAGACGAATATGCTACAATCGTAAAACCAAAACAAACAAATGAAAAATTCCATCAACGACAACGATCGTTGTCATCCATTGATAATAAAGAACAATTTTCTACATAGTCGCCTTTTTTTAACAGCTTTTCTTTCTTTTTCTTTTCAAATAAAGTATTCGAACAGGGAAAAAATTGGGCATTTATAATGAATATATCATTAATAATAAAACATCTAGGAATTTATGATTCGTCAGTAATAAGTTTCTTACATCGATAGTGATTCTGCTGGGAATCATACATCAACCACATATAGTTTGTATTGGTGTTAATTCATTTCCCATATGTGACAATGACAGTTCAACTAGACTTATAAAAAGTGTATTATTATTAAATGAAGTTCTCAACAGTGTGATACATTACGTAATAGTCAGGTAACATAGTCCTTCAAGTGAAACATTTTTTGACAACATTGTTAATGAATACTGAGCAAAAAAAAGCTTTCTATGTGGCTAACCGATCAAAATAATAAGTAAAGATTATTTTGAAAGTATTACACACGATTAGTTTCTTCTCTTTTCTAATATAATCCTTGTTTTGGAAATATATTTTCGTGCTTAATTAAAAAAGAAGGATGACTGCAAAATAAGCATTCAAATATAATTACTATGCAGTCGTAAATTTCGATTATCCATTGAAATCGTTCCATCTCTAGTGTTCTACATGCGTGTTTATTCTATTACATTGTAAAACAATAAACATCAAGCATAAAAAACTAAAGCATTAGAGTCATTTGATTGTAATATATCATTGATAAAAAATAACAATAGAAAGGAAGAAACAAATTTTATTATTCATAACAAATCTAGGCCAGTCGCTATTGTTTTGCTAACTGCTTGAGAAATGAAAGCTTCCTATTTCTCGTTTCGACAACAACTGTCTTCGTTACTTACTGAACAAAACTTTATCATATACTGATATTTAATCTTTGCACTTTGATGATAAATTTATTTGCAAAAGCTTTTCATAATCCAATACGTGCTTTAATCGTCTATGTCATTTAATCCGTAAGAGTTACTAACGAAATTATTCTTCCACTTCAACATTGTGTAAACTATGAAAAAACGCGCATCCTTAAATAGAATGCATTCACTTCCTCTTCGTCTCGTTATTTTCCAATCAATAGCAATTGTTCATTGTCGATATGTCATTCGCGGAGAAAAAACTCGATATTCATTCTTTTGTCCTATTCCAAACGGTCATTGGTATGGTCCAAATAATCAATCAATAGTTTCTAATTCAGATAGATACGAAATACAATATTCATTTGATAGCACACAATTGATTATTGATTATATAACATTACTACACGAAGGAGAATATATTTGCCAAAATAATCAAACCAACGATATCATTGAACGATATCAATTAAGACTTGGCACATTGAATGATATACTTCTAGCATATTTTATTTTGACTTTTTCTATACTTATCTTCATTCCAATATTTTGGTTTCTAGGTAAAAAATATTCCGGTATTAAGCATCAATAAAATTTTATATTACAGAAGAGAACAAAAAAAACGAATAATAACATTTTGTTTTTGTTTAAGACCACGTTAATTACAAATACAATAAGAAAGGAAGAAAAAAGAAAACAAAAGTTGTCTGATAAAAAAAAATAATTAATTATGCGGAATGAATTTGAATTCAACGCTGATATGTGCAACTAAAAACATTTGTTTCTTGTGTTTGGTGTTGTTGTTTTCATGTTATATCAGACAAATTTTCCTAAGCAAAAAACTCTCTTGATGATACACGCGTATAGGCATGTGACGGAGATTTTCGTGGTCCTTCTTCTAACGCATAGGAACCTTCATCTTTTTTACGCATGCGATAGATTATAAACATCACAAGTAGTATAGCCGATAGCATTCCAATGACAATACCACCAATAATACCTAAATTAAAATGTAAATAAATTATTTTTCATTGAGACAAATGGTTTTCACTTACCAACGAGTATGCCCGGTCTTGAAAAGAGCTCACGCCATAGATTTGCCGGTACAAATGGCATTCGAGATGTAGATGATTGATCAAGATTCTTTTTATTATTCGAATCTATTATAGGCGGTTTAATCTCCAGCGGATTCATAGATATTGTATCACTGAATAGTTGGGAACCATCTTGTTTAGTTGTTTCATCGTCAATAGTATCCTCATTTAAATAATTTTGATATGAATCAGGTTCATCTTCGTATTCATTATTCTCAGCTTCTTCTGGTTGTACAGGTCGATTTGATGTTATATTGGGAGTGAATTTTAATTGTGCAACAGGCGATGTGACTGGTGGTGATGGGATTTCTTCAAAATCTTCAGTATCATCGTATATATCAGATGCGCCTGAAACAAAATTTTTATTTTTAATCCTTTTAATAAATAGAACTCTTACCATCAGGGTATGCCTCATCTGTATTTATAGCTGTAGAACTTGAGCGAGCATTATTATTATTATTATTTGATGCAATCACCGATTGATACTAGAAGAGAAAAAAATGATTTTTTTATTCAAGATGAAGAATATATTGCTATTAATTCAATTTCAAGGCTATTATGTAATCGAATTAGGGCATGCTAGATTTCATGTTAAGATGAATATGCTCATCGTAAAAGAGCCTCCGGAAGAAAAGACTACAGTGAAACGTACTTGGTTTGCTTGAGCAACGATAATCATTGGAGCTTGAATAAATATGATGAAAGTTACTAAACATGACAATGTCAGTTTAGAATATGGATAATACGATCGTGAATATTGTTTATATTGATTTGGCATTATGAGTTTTGCTAGTTAAAAACTAATATTCATCTCTTGGCGATGCCACGACTGTTCAACCACGAACAGCAAATGAAATCCATTAAGAGTATGCAGAGTAATAGTCGTCGCCCTCGCCGCTGTTCTTGGAATAGTAGAGAAGAAAAGAAAGAAGAAAACGAGTATTTCTTGTGTCTGCTTGCTGAATGCTTGATATCTATCTAAAGAGTAAGAGAGAGAGAGAGAGAGAGAGAGAAATGAGACAGAGAAAGAAAAAAACTAGAGAAGAATCAAAAGAAAAAAAAACACGTCTTGTTCAACCATCATTCTTCCCATGGTTATGTTAGTAAAGAAAGAGAAAAAAAAATTATGGTCATTGAACATGAAAAAAACTCGTGACGGCGAGTAGTACACTTACTACACAGTGCGTGCATTCGCTTTTCATCTTCTCCGCCCTGTCCTCGTTCAATCATTCGTTTATTCGACGGTCGTAATCTCATTTTTCTTGCACGCATACACGTTCTGTCCTTGAATCTTTTGTTTCTATTTCATTGTGTATGTGTTTGCTATTGCACGCTGACCACACATTTAGTCATACACGATACTAATCACTTTTATGCGCGCATCGTGCTCAAGTAACAGATGTTTTCTGGCTAAGAGATACAATGAAGTTAATTGTATTGCTAACTAGTCCAGAATAAAAAGGGCCCTTGTACTAGTTACGATGATCATCTATCTTATAATATATATTTCCACGCCGTCGCTTCTGATGCTAGTGGTCCGTTCGAGGTCCGTTGTTCGTAAAAAGAACCTAACGAGAAGAGCATCGGAGAGCCGGACTGTGTTGCGTCATGCATCTCTGCAACTCCAACAAGACAGAAAGAAGAGAAGAGAAAAGGAAAGAGAAAATTAAACATGCGTCTATGATAGAATAAGAGCAATGAGACAAAATGTCAACTCAAGTGATAGACAGCTGTGTATATATGCCGCATGTATGGGTGTGGTAGGACAATTACATCATAATTTTGCTTGTCAGTTCTCTGGCTATTGGCACTAGCTGGAATTTCAGCTTTTTTTTTCTTTTCATTGACATCACAAGAGCAAGATTTAATCAATACACTTATGACAGCATTTGTTGTACATTTTCTTCCTGCAGCCATAAGACCCTTAGAAAGCTTCGCATTTCTTTCATTCATCCTTGCATACGTATGTACGTACATATATAATATATATATATATATATCTAAGATTGGTCCTATCAACAAGCACAACGGTATTGATGAAATATGCGTTCGTGCATGCATATATAGGGTATCATATAACAAAGAATTTCAGCAGATCTTCAATAAGATATATGGGAAAATATTTTATTGAATAACATGTGTAGAGTTATGCATCCTTTAATGCAATAAACGAAATACTTTCATGTTTTGGCATCATTCATTGTAACAGCTGTCTCTTTATTTAACTTGACAAAAAAGAAGAGAAGTAACAAAGAAGATTGATTTATACTTATACGCGCACGCATTCTCGTTTGCCGCTACTATGTTTCAATTTCCTGAGTAGTATGTCGCACAAACAGTTTCATCTCCGATTCTCATATGACCGTTGCCGGCCTCTTTTTACTCACTTCTTTTGTGTGTATGTGAGTAATATTCTGATGTAGATGAGAATGTTTCTCTATGCGTACGCTACGCAGCCTGTCTTCTTTTATATATTGTCAACGAGTGAACGAGCAAGCATGCTGCCGTTCATTTCTCTTCTTTCTTTCTCCTCTGTCTAGTTCTCATAGCGTGTTGGCTAGATGAAAAATAGAATGAAGGTCGGTCCCTTCTGTTCATTCGCTCTTCTTCCTTACTTTATTCAAATCGGTCACCATGTTGAACGAACATTTAACCAAGGTCAACTCATCCTATTGAATTCGTTCTTACATTTGTCTTTCCCGCCTTTCAATAAACAACAATACAGTTGAGAACATTGATTGAACTTATGATGACGATGTAAAATTGACCACGAGAAAGAAGAGAAAGAAGAAGAAGAAGAAGAAGAAGAAACGAAACATGTAAGCGAAATAAAATTCATGAAACAATATAATCAACAAAGGGGAAAACGAAAAGAACAACAATTATCAACTGTTGACCGAACACTATCCGATGTGTACTTAAAGATTATATGAATTTCTCTTTTTTTTTAATACACTTCATGTGTCAAGAGTTCGGTCAACCATCGAGTGGAATATGAACAATATTTTTACGAATTTTATTTCAACTTGATTGATAATGCATACGTGTCTTGATTATTATGATAATATGATGCATAACAATTATGATGAGTGAATACTTCAAGCAATGTAATCCTCGATCGGTCTTACTGTGCACATTATTATGTTCTTTTTAATATTCTTCTTCATATATATATATATATATATATACATGTATAAACATACAACTCGACAATCAAGTCTAGACACGCAGGAGTGAAGAGTACAATGTCACACTCATATGTATACAAAGAATAAAAGAGGAGCTAATCGTTAAGATGATTGTTTATTTATCGCACAATGGGAAATCTGCAATGATGAAAAGTTATCAACCATATTGACATCAGCAACGAAGCCTATGTCAAGAAAACAATAACTCATGTAAAGAATTGCTTGTTTGTACAAGAAAAATGAAGAAGAAGGAAAACATTCTCTAACTATACTCATTTGATTGCACAATAGTAACGATAATGTTGACAAATAATAATCAAGCTAAAACGGATTTTCTCTCTTTGAGAGATAAATAATCAATAATGTGTCATCCACTAGGATTATTATAATCTAATGAATTAAATCGGATGTGCAACGAAAGAGCTGGAGACCATCTGTCATCTTATATGCAGATAATCAAGCATACATTCTAAAATATTTACTCGAGATGCATACAAGGACATACTTTATTTAATCGAAATGATAGCAATTACTTGTAGCAACAGAAAAAGTAAATATTATTCTCACCAATAAAATGTGCCTCACATTTATTTCTCATTAACCACCGCGAGATCTAAAATAATTACGAAAAAACCGACATTCTCTCGTTTATTATTAGGCTTTTTTTGAAGCAAAACTATAATAGTTACAATATTCTATTTTTCACAACACATCAAACGCTAACAAATAATACACTGGAATGAGAGCAAAAATATTTGTTTCAATTAGCAGTTTCTATACACATACATCACGAATGACTAGAGCGTTATTAAAATAATATTTATAATGATCGAAATATAGCATAAGTGCCAATAACAACCAGATGTGAAGCGAAATTAAGTCTCGACCATTTATCAAGAACATGTTGCCACGAATAGCCAATTGTTTCTTGTGAACTACCATCGAATAGTTGTCCCAAATAGGTGAGATGCCACAAACTGAGAAGACATAAAAACACATTGACAATTATTGTCAATGGATGCCAATATGTATATGTATGGTTTTCACATGATGAACGTAATGGACACGCACGTGCTGCGACACATGCATCGAGAATGTTTGCTAATTTACGCCGAAAACCATATTCAACATATGCAAATAAACCAATCGAAAATAAAACAATCGACAATTGAAAATTGAAGCCATGCAAAAGTGCCGATGCAAGATAAGTTATAAGTATTGATGGAAAATGGCCATATTGTTGTTTTATCGGAATAAAAACATAGATTTTTAACCAGTAATGCATTGGTAAATTCCAATTAACAACAACGGCGACTAATGAATGAGGAATTTCAATGTGAGATGGTTTGACAATTGATGAGTTCGAATGATTGGACGATGAAGAAATTGTTGCTTTTGTTGACGATGATGATGTTGAAGGATTTGTTCGGATAGAAACTTTACGTTTAGATGCAGAAAGTGAATTTTGTGAAGGAGATTTTTTTGTACTACGCCGATTGACTAGAATTCGACTGGTTGAGAGATCTGATTCGTCGTTTGTTGTTGCTAAATTGGATTCAACTGTTGTAGAAGATCCATTCGCAATGAGATTACTTAAAAAAACAAAGTAAAAGAATTTATTTTTTAAACTCTACGTCACATGTCGTTATTCGACAATTAATATTTTATTATTCACCAAAGTCATTATCAATGATACTTAATGATCTTTTTATTATAATTGATATTATGACGTCAACGATAACTCTCTACATGATAGTTTAATTATCTTCAATTAGTAAGCAAACGTCTTTGTTGTACTAATATTCTCCATCATTGAATACTAATAAGCTAATAAAAGTAGATGACTTTGATTGCATCAAGGTTCATATTAGTACAACATAATGTCAAAACTAATAAGTCATTCTCTTTAGAATCTTTGTACTGGCAAATCATTTAAAACTTCATAGATATAATTTACCTTATCTGACTTAAATCATGATGTTCTTCATTCGTCGTTGATACAGTACTGTCATTTTCTTCTTGTTTATTATTATTATTCTTTTTATTTCGATGTCTTCGTTTTCCTGTATGAGAGGCTGTTGCTGCAGCGAGTGCTTCTAATTCTGCTTGTTCACGAGATTTTCTTTCTATTTCAATGCGTTCATTTGCTTGTTGGCAAATATGTGTATAATTACAGTACTCATCAGCATCAAATTCAAGACCACTAATTTGACCACATAATTCACCAATAAAACAAATACAATAATGACTAAAACGATAAGATAACGCTTGTATGTAAGCAACACGCCATCCAGCCTGGTTATTATCTTGGTCATCAATGTATAAAAAGCTATTTCGAAGAACCCAATCCGTTAAGCATGTTGACACGAGAAGACAAATAGCCACGCGAAGAAAATAATAAGCCCATTTAGCTAATTCAAAAAAGTCGATTTTTCTCATTGGATTAGTTTCGTGAAAACGACGGATATAATTTCTATAATTAATCCATGGACCAAATATTGTATTATGTATTGAAAGTATATAACTAAAGAATTCGATTGCTGTTGGATACGTTACTGATTCGTTTGTATTTGTTTTTGATGGTTTTTCAAAAAATGAATAATCAACAGCAAGAGAAATCATCTTCATCATAATACACATTTGTACTCCACGAATACCTATAACAAAATACGAGCTATTATTTCCGATTGGGTTTCTGATAAACTATTTAAGAAATGAACTGATAAATCAATTTATTTGTCAGAACCCAATATCCTTGTCCTCATTATTTTTTAATGATTCAGCAAAGGTCTATGTTTGTCAGCATTCAAATAAAATTCTATTTATATTCATTACTCCAAAATAGCAAAAGTATTATATTTTTCATACTTACTATGCCATTTTACTTGTTCGATTAAAATAAATTCACATGCAAGTACATATATAATTGAAAAGCATACAATAATAGATGTTAAATAAGTTCGACATTTATTCAAGCAAACTTGAAATGATAAATATCCCATGAAGACATATGTTAGAAGATATATTGATTGAAAATGAAAATAATTAAAGAGTATAAATATACTCGAACATATTTGAATGTAATGAAGTTTTCTCGATGAGAATAATTTTGATAAACAAACAAGACGAAATAGACAACAAAACAATACAATCCAATATAATTGATTAACTAATTGTGATAAAGCTGGTGAAATACAATTATCTGTCAGATCAATAAATGAGTAAATTAATGAAGACGATGAAGAGTCCGATGAAAGAGAATCCGATGATGACGATAAGCTATCGAGTGGTAATGTAGAATTTGGGCGAGAGAGCGAAGTAAGTCGTATAAATTCATTATCAAAAAATTGATTGAAATCAGCCGATGTTTCAATACCAGATGCCAACCAATCATCATAACTCCATGAAGATGAATCTTCATCATTATATTCTTCATTTTCATCCATAAAATACGATAAATCGCCATCTATCATGTTCATCTAAAACACAGTATCATATATGTATGTATATATACGTATATTTATAATCACCGTTACACAAAGAACACTGATGAGAAAAAAATTTAAAAAAAACCTGTTTTTATCTTAATTGAATGAATAATCAAGTGAAAAAAAGAATCAAAAACACAACTGTCTAGGACTTGTTTGTAAAATTTTCTGCAGCAATCGTTTGAAAATCGGTATATAAATTAAGTAAAGCACCTGTATTGACAGTTGTATCAGCAGCAATAATGAATACAAGTGGTGGAACATTGTATGTTATTATTTGACGTGCTGACCAATAGGTAACAACAGTTTTCAATTTTTTCAAATTTGTTCGTTGACTTTGATCTTGTAAGGTTTGTGCTGATGGTATAATTGTTTGTAAATCAAGTTGATCAACAATTTCCGGTGTAGGTAATTTTAATATTGACGTACCATCTTTATCAAGTACTAGTACAGCTTCAATGCCGTCAATATGAGCAAATAATTGTGGAAGTGTCATCTTCAACTTAGATGGATTCTTCGCCGATAAACAAATAAAAGTTGTGGTAACTTCGATAAAAGAAAAATGAATGACGACGAGAGATAATAATACCCCATCTGCTGAATGGCGTACTAAATAATACGAATTAAATTCATAAATACAAGATGTCGCTATTGGCTAGGGCCTGTGTCTATTCCACTGCGTGTTTATGACAATTAATGATTTACGCTAACTATACGTGAGAATCAAGAAATGAAAACATTCTCAAGTATATTACTGTTCGATTTCTTTCAGTTGTTCACTATTCTATACTCGTAATGGTATCATGTTCCGTATTTGTTATCCATCTAATTATTCGAACTGGTTTTTTTTAGCAATAGTTATTTGATGATATCAATACATCGTTCATTACTCAATCTACGCTTGTCTATGATTTTATTCATATGATGCCCTGTAGTAGAGTTTAATACGGTTAATTGCATTCTATTAACCATTGTCGATGATTACTTACGTATTGCCGAGTTTGTTCTTTCTCTCACAAATGGAAGCTATCTTACTTACTAGTCGGTACGTTTTCAAAATCATAACGATCGTCACCTCCAGAAATAATGAACTTACGTGAAGATAGAACTTCAATAGAGTAACTGATAGTGAAAATTTCCGATCTTTTCGCTATTTATGTTTTCAGTTAATATACGTTATAGTAGATCTAGAATTTTTACTACAAACTACTCTATGTAATACTAACATGCACGTCAAATTTCAATTTCTAAGTCGTTTTTTTTTCATCCGATATTTCTCAGGGTGATTACATGTTTTGGCTGCTGAAAAATAGTTGAAACATCGTCAGATATTTCACATAAGGCGATGTGAAAGTAAATCTATTTTACTTTGCAGCAGATATCACGGAGTAATTTTATAATTATCTCTATCATAGGTATTATATGATAAACATTTAGTAATTACACAAATTTCATTTCACAGAATATGTATATATATAGAACAGACTCTAAAATATATTTTTTTCGGTTGAAAAATTTCTATACAATTTTAGATAGTATAAAACATAAATAACATAATAATATGAACAACGTCTTTCAAAAAGGGAATATCGATAAGCAAGGTACATCCCACGTTTTTTTAATTTGCCGGTTTCCTATGAGTTCGCGATTTCGGTGAAGCATTCTAATTTTGGAATACTAGATATAATATTTATACACTAAGAAGTGCAACTAACAGGTGGGCCATAAATAGTTAGACTGTTAGTATTTTCCGAATTTATTCTCTTCTTCGTACTCGATTGAGCTGACTCTACTCTCAAAAGATTCCACGTTCAATTCTCTACAAAATGATGTATAGCCGATAATACGAAATTTTGAGATATTGTTTCGGCTGAACAAAATACGACGTGTCCCAAAAAACTGAAAAATGTAATGGTTTTCTAGCAAATTTTTGCAATTTAAAATCTATGTCAAAATTGTATACAAATCAAATCCCAAGCTATGTTTTTACACATTCAGATATTCTCTATCTGATGGGGACTAAATTCATTTTTTCTACTTGCGTTAACCTGATAGAAAATGGCTAATTAGTTGCTTGCCGCCATAACATCAGCGAAATGTTAGTGTTATGAAGTGATATCGTCTCGATTTTTTAACAAAACAAAACTTAAAACTATTTGGATGTGTATTTAGTAGGGAAAAGTATTCTTTTTCATATAACGCTTGACCGAGTCTTACTGATTTCATCTTGTTCGAAGTATGACCAATCTGCGGATGATCCTAACAAGTAAGTCAAAAAGGCTAAAAACCAGTGATTGGGCTTTTACGGAAATCATGAATGAAAGGATAAAATAAAGAGAAGAATTTCGCTTTGATGACCAATCGAGAGAGAATTTCAAGGGCTACAATTTCACATATTTAGCTTTGACACGATTAAACAACTTGATTTATTATAAGCGAAATACCAATTTTTAAGTTACAGGGTGGGTGTAATTATTTATGGCCCACGTGTTTTATAGGAAGCATTTGAAAAACATATGAGAGATCAATGAATAAACTACGTATATTTTGTATTGCTATTAAACAATGATAATTATCAAGTAGACAACTCGAGATTTGAAATCAAATTATTGGTATAACTTGTACAAAATTTAAAATTCATTGAATATAGAATACAATACGATTAAGTTGATAAATTGCTTGAAGTAAATAAGAATAATAGAATGCACATTCACGAGAAAACTGCATGTTAAGTTTAAGTAAATGAATTTTTCAAACACTTTTGTAAATTAAATGAAAAAAAAAAACAAGACTAAAATCATTGAAAGATAAACCAATACTGCAATCGTCGAACCACTACTCGTTAATGAATCCAAAACAATACGAAAATATTTTGGTGACAAGATGAAACTGAGAGTCAGTTTTAGCGAATGTAATAAGAAGAAAAAAATGAATGAAAAGAAAGATTCTGCTCTTTATATAAGCTTAATCCTAAAAGCATGTTAGCAATTTTACTAGAATCTTGATTAGACCTGAAGAATATCTACATCGCGAAGTTAATCAATAGCAAAAGCATTCTTTTCATGAAAATATCATCATATAAATACAGCTTCTCGATGACGACATAAGCCCACACTGTCAAGACACTATATCAAACTCATCAAAGCTTGTGAATATTAAATTGAATTATTAAGAGGTATATTTGATGACAGATTACGTGTTCAGCTAAATTTGTATCTTCGTCATACCTTGTTTGTAGTTTTTTTACCATCCTCATGTAGTTGATTAAAATTTGACAGTAAACTCTATTTTATCGGAGAAATCCCTTCAGAGAAAAGAATCATTATTTTTCCTTAAGAAACCAAAACACACAGAAATTTTTAGAAAGATAGAAATTTTAACAGTAGAAATCGTTGTGTAAATCATATTCTTTCTATAAGATTGCATTCTCATGAATTAAATATCTTGTTTTAAACGCTCAGAAAACTTAAGAAACATTCAGTAAGAATTATTAATGAAGAATATAAAAGACGTAATAATTCATTAAGATTGCGCATGGAGATTTGATGATTGAAAGAAAACTTTTGATCATATGGTAGACTGACTATCATAAGGCATCAGTTCAAACAAACGTTGATAAAGGTCTTGATATATTTTCATTTCCTTGTTCTAAGGACAGAAATTACAGTTCTCTGTTTTCTGCCTATGAAAAGTTAATCAAGGAAAGAAGCCATCTGGCCATTTCCTTGTCAATCGGTATTAATTCAAGTAAGTTAGATTTTGATTTGTAAAAAAAATAGAACCAATAGAAAATTAGACGCTAATTTTTCATGCTCAATAGTTTAACTTATTTGAAGCTGAGAAATTCTGTTTAATTAGCCAAGGAAGTATTGACACATCACCTATAAACATGATACAAGCTGCTGTTCAATTCACCCAAAATTGAATCTATATTGTATTTTTTTATTGTCATCGTTGATTCTTTTATCATGAGTCATGTGCAAATTCTTGCCCAGATATAGATCCAACTGTTTATGATAAAAAGATCTTTTAAAGAACTTAAAATTTGTTTATTAGAATATATTTTTAAAGAGTTATCTTAATGATACATTGAAAAGAATTATTCGTTACGACATTTACATTCAAACAGGTCTTTTTAAATCAGTAAATTTTATTTAACATAATAGAATGTTTCGTTTTTGCTCTAGAACAAAAAAATGCTTCAAAATTATTTTCATATAGAAATATTTTGTTGTAATCTACGAGGTGAACCGAAGATCGTTATCTTATTCTATAATTGTTTCATTAGAACAAAAAAAGCCTATTAATTTCTTTTATTTAACTCTTTCAATCTCGTGTGCGGTTAAGAGAAGCAGGACTATTCCTCGTTGCGACAAGTTTGTTTTTCTTCGCATTAGGCTAATCAGAATGAAAGAGATCGCGAAAAACCGAAATATTCTTAGACTTCGTGTAGTACGAAAGAATATGCCGGGGTTCAAATGGTTAAAAGATGAATTTTTATACTATTTAAAAGTATTTTCATCAATGAATTATGTTTGAGATGAAATACTATATTAGACAGCTAATGTTAATCTTTAGTGCCTATACCATATGTTCCAATAATAGTTAATATTCTAAAGAGAAACTTCTCTTAGGAATGATTCATTATATGACTAAAAGGCTTTTCTTATTCTTAGCAAAAAGACGAGTAAATAAATAAATCTAATAGTTATTTGGAATGTTTACATTTTCCTTTCATTTCTTATGAAAATCAAATATACTTTATTTCGTATGATTAAAAATATTATATAAGAAATCAACATCGATATAGGAACTGTTTATTATTTATTCAATAATGAGAAAAAAAATCAAATCCAAAGACAAAATTTTGATGTTTTGATATAAAGTCGACTATTTGGAAAACGTATTTTAACCATCGAATGATAAGGTTCAACTTTCTCAGTATGAGTTTGCCCATAAATATCAGGAAAAACAAATTCTGTCAAATTTCCAACTAATTAATGTTAGCTTTTCAAAATTCATTGAATACATCATCGGATAGAAAACATTAGCTAACTAGAGAGGAAGTCAAATAAAAATTAGCAATCGTTCGTACTACATATCTGATTCTAATCGAAAAAGAACGATAACTAGCAAAATAAAATTTGCATAATCGTTAATAAAACTTGTTTCAATTGAGATTAACAAAAGTTTAAATCCTTGAGAAAAATAATCAGTAAAAGCTTGTCAAAATATCAATATTTACTTATTCAATATGAATATTGATATGGAAAAATCAAGCACCTACCAAATAAGATTCCTCTTTCAATTATGCAAATAAAAGAAGTCTGACATTAGCATATATGTCAAACTTGAAACTTCTTCATCAACAACATCGACTTCGCTTTCAATCAATTATATGCATAAAAATTTTCTTTTGATCTGGCCCAATAAGTACAAATATTTTTAATCTGGACCCGAACCCGGACCCGGCAAAGTGTTAGCTCTAACATGTATAGAATGGAAAGGATATATGAGGAATGAAAGAGAGATATATTAAGAGCGAAAGAGACAAGCAGTGTCACTGATGTTATGTGACGAACGAAGAAAAGTGAACTTCGTGGACTCGAACCGACACCTTCCGCTATTCGGGCAGATGTCCTAACCAGTTAGACTAGAAGAACATCTTAATCTTCGTTTAGCGTTAGTAAGGTACATCACTAACGCTAACACAAAGAGAAATTTTTAGACCCGGACCCGGACCCGACGGGCTCTAGTTGTTGCCGTGTTGATGAAAAAGACTATGATTGATAATAACAGAACGTTCGCTATCGGTAATAGAGTCCTTTAACCTGTTGTGCTATAAGAAAGCTGTTGCAAAATAATATCAACCAACTGTAGTGAATATTACAATTATCTTGTCTATCTGTCTGTATACTTTTAGCAATATAGTTGAAATTTTTTTTCATATATAGTATGAAAGTCTTAATTTATAAAGAAACAGATATAGATACCAGACTTAACCATTAAATCGCATAAAATCCCGAAACAAAAATGAATAGCGGGATTAACTAAAAATGCTTAATGTATTCAAATAAATCCCAATAAATCTCCATAAAATAAATCCTGGTAGCTGCTGATTATTTAACATTAATTAGTATCTCTGACGTTTTGATTGATAAAACTTAGATATATTGAAAAATAGTTTTCCCAATCCTTCAATGATACTGATGAGAAAAATACTGCGAAACATATTGATCTTATTTTGAAATGGAAGCTCGCATTGTTCAGAAAATTATAATTCATGTAGCAAATGTTCTTATTGTAAATCCTTAAGAAGATTGTTTATCATTAAATTATGAATCTTGTATAGACGCGCATCCGTGTTCATCCATGAGTTTCTCTTCAACATGCCAAGCGATGACATTCCATCTTTTATTCAGTAGAAAACCGGAGCATTATTTTTGCTGAATTTTAATAATGTAAAAGAAAACTAGCGAGAACAATTTAACTATTGTGAAAACCATGAAGATTGTATTTTAAAACTTTAGACATTATAGAGCGTGCAGCAATTACTTGGAATCGTCTCTTAGATCTTCATTTCAAATATTTATCTATTGAAGAGGTGTGCATCTGTGTGAAACACATGAATAAAATATCCAATCTAATAAGAACGATAAGATTAGATAAGAATAATTTTTGTAAGATTTGAATTTGAGAATTTTCTACACTATGGCATGAAAGACATACATTAGAGTTTTCAATTGCATAGAATATTCATGTGTCTCTCTGATCAGATGTCACTAAGTTGTCCTGCACGATAATGCTTATGCATTGTGATGTGTGCTTGCTTGTTCAATGCGATGTTTAATTGGTTGATAATGTAACCAATGCAAGTTTTTTTTCTTGTGGTAGTTGTGATTAATTTGTTTCTTTCTTGCACTTTTATTGAAGGCAGCATTGTCACGCAATGGCAAAGTGTACACAACACCTTTTACTGTCGTTACACATGCTGTATTGTACTACGTGTCAAAAAGCAATTTTTTCATAGTGCACTTTATTTGCGAAATTATTAGATGAATTACATGAAGTGGAAAAATAGTAAATATAATTCATTTTATTATTTTTCGATTATTTCATTGTTTCCTTAATGGTGTAATTTATTTTTGATTATAGAAATAGAATATTTATTTAAGAGACCCTTGGTAATGTACATTTTGATACGTTTATTTATGAAAGAAAAAGCGTTTTTTAATAGCTCTATTAGACGAACTAACGTCATTATCAGGGGCGCTAGGTGAGGCTCATCATATTTTTTTGCTACCGTGGAATTTTAAGAAACATCAAGTAGTAAATAAGTCTTCTTTTTATTGAACTTCAGTAAAAATAAAAATGGTCAGTATAAAAAAGAAGATTGGAAAATACCGAAAACTAGTTTTCTTTGCTTCTACTCTGATGCAAGAACAAGATAATAGCAATATTCAGTACAAAAGCAAATGAGGCTGAGTCTCATATTGTGAAATCTAGGTGAGGCTGAGCCTCATCTACTGAAAACTAGGTGAGGCTCAAGTCTCACCTGTCTCAATGGCTCCGCCGCCACTGGTCATTATGATAGTTTCTGTTTTTTTGCTCGAGTATTTCTCGAAGAGGTAACTGATAAAGTAATCTTCGCTTTCTCTCACAAACGTTTTTGTGAACATTCCTTTTGCTTATCAATGTATAAAACAATCATTTAGTCTTCTCATTTCTCCCTGGTTATCTTACATTATGAATCATTTTGATCACAGTGACGTATTTTTTAGGGCGATTTAATCTAATTCTCCCTGAAAGAAACGTCTCGCAAATTGTATTCAAGGTGCTTTTTTCTTTAAATTTCGAAAACATTTTTTCCATTCTTCTACTTTCGATTTCGAAATAACTTGGAAAAATCCTCTATATGTACTTGAGATATAGTGAACATTTTACTTTCATTTTTTAATAAACAGTATAACCATAGACATTATATTTACTTCAAATACTTCACATGCCACTCTTTTTATATTAGTATTGAGAAGAATAATTCGATGATACGATAAATTATTTTAAAATGACCTTAATATTTCCGTTTTTTTTTTGAGTTTAATGATAATAGGGTAACTAATCTTTGTCTAGTTATTCATTCATAAAATTTTTTATCAGTTAAAAAGGAATGTCATTATTACTTATCATAGATAAACTTTGAGAACATTCTTTTTTTTTAAATATTATTCTTTGTGTTGTGTAAAATAAATTGAAGGAAATGATAGTATCTAGCCAATAATATTTTGTTTGATATCATCACCTTATTGTTGATGAAACTTGAAATTTTGATAATATAGAAGATAAACCTTCTTTTTTTTTGATGAAAAAGATAAGCGAATAAAAATTTTGAAAATATAAATAATTGCTATGTAAGACAGAATAAAAGCATACTCAGTACTTCCTATAATTATAATCAAGTTTTTCGTCTCTTGTTGTTATACAATCTAGATGTATATATTTATTTAGTATATTTATTAACATACTATCTGGTTTAACTTGGACTCAGATACGAATTTTCTTTCAACCAATCGATATTCTGGACTAAATATATGTTATAGTGTATAGTATAGTATAACTATTTGTAGAAACATGAGAAGGCTTAGCGTCTTTTTCAATTGGATAGATGAAAGTCCAAAAGGTTGATTAAGATAAAAATAGATTTTTCACTGATTTGAGGTAGTTTAATTGATTGTCATTGCTTTCGAAATTAATAAATTTTTTGTTCTATAGATACATTATATTTTTTGAAAAATGATTTAATAATTCAATTTGAGTTTTAAATATAACTGAGAGAAATCGTTGCTTAAGAAAAAATTATTTTATTTTAGTAATATTATGTAGCAAAAAAAAAACGTTTTTTTTTTCATTCTTATTTATTTTGTAATTTCTAATTCTTTAGTCGAATACATGAGATGTTTGCGATTTTCTTTCTCACAGTAAAATAAATACCCTATGAATATAATTAGCATAGTGAAAGACCAAAGTCGACGTAATAGGTCGTTTCGGAAGCGTTCTAGTTTTTTTTCAACAACAATCTATTTATTTCGAGTGCCAAGAAAACTAATATTTACCTACTTTTTCTGTTCTTAACAAATTTTATATCACGTCATAGCATTGTTTTTATTTTCAATTCTTCTATATCATTCTTTTTTTCCTTTTGCACTTGATAGGTACCTGTTGATAAGGTTAACAGCCTGACCTGTTTTAGCTAAAATTCTTCATCATATTGTATGAAACAGTTGTCACGCTGTTGTAACATTATCATATTATATTTCTATAATGGCTCCTAATGGTGAGACAAATCATAAGATATTAACAACTACCTATCACACTGATCCATCATCATCACTCATCAATGACAATCGTTTATGTTTATTTATCAATGAAAAATGGTATGATCTAACACAATGGCAAAATATACATCCAGGTGGTCGAGAAATTCTACAGCATTTAAATGGCAAAGATGCAACCGATGCATTTTATGCTCTTCATAGTGAAGATGCTTTTAAACGGCTGTCTAATCTAAAACCTTGCTCTCCACTTCAAACTCAATACACACTACCATATATAGAAACAACGAATCTTACATTTTCATTTCGACAATTACGTGAAAAATTAATTAAAGAAGGTCATTTTAATCGATCATTATTTTGGGAATCATTTTATCAAATTTCCGTTTATGTCATGTGTTTATTTGGTACATTCTGCCATTTTTATTGGGGATATAATCTTTTAGCTATGATTATTATTGGATTTGGTATGCAGCAATCAGGTTGGATTGGACACGATTATGCTCATGGAAGAGGCACATGGATGCGATGGTTATGTAGAACATTATCAGGTTTCATTAATGCATTTAGTCCAACTTGGTGGTCGCGGAAGCATAATACTCATCATATCTATACGAATAATCTTGGCATCGATACAGATGTAGCTAATGATCCAGTATTTCATTTATTTTTTCCTCCGAAAGAAAAAGATTTTTGGTTTCGAGCTTATCAACATTACTATTTTATGCCTGTCTATTCATTATTGTATTTAAGTTGGCGATGGCAATCTATTCAATATTCATATTATTCATCGCTCTACTATGAACTTGCTTTTATGTTACCAAGCTATATTTGGCTTTGTATGCTTGGTTGGCAAGTAGCTATGGGCTCAGTACTTTTTGGTGGTTTTCTTGTTGCCATTATTGTTACAGCAACACATCAAAGTGAAGAAATGTTAAATGATTCTAGCCGTTCATTTGTTGAAACACAATTCTTAACAACTTGTGATGCGCGATGTGATAATTTTTTTATGGAATGGTTATGGGGCGGAATGCAATATCAATTAGAACATCATTTATTTCCGACGATGCCAAAATATAATTACGCTCGTGTGAGACCCATTGTTCAACAATGGGCAAAAGATAATGGTATTAAATATAAAATTGAAAGTGTTTGGTCAATTTGGCAACGAAATTTTCAAACATTAAAACATTTCTCAAGTTAAATATAAGACACTTAAAAATCTGTTGCTGGGTGAAAACATCTTCCAGCTTGTTTCGTTTTAGATTTATTGTTGAGAACTTGATATTTTGTTGTTAATGGAACATCATTGTATTATGCGAGTCACATCATATAGTTTAATATGAAATAAATAAAAGCTAGCTAACTTTCTGCTCATTTTCACATAGACACGTTTTTTTATTATCTAATATGCATCTGAATTAAAATCAATCATAATGAGATAGATAAACTACGGAGATTCTAGTCTGAGGTTACTCTAGTAAAATTCAATGAAATTGTTGTTAAAGTTTTGGATATTCATGACTAAAGCAATCTTTGTTTTTATAGTTCTAGTAAAATCAACGCATACATGGTCACAACTTTTATTGATTTGATTGGATGACTGACAAGTAACAGCTTTGAAACGCATCATTGGGAACTCACAACGAAGAAAATAAAAGAATGCTATCCGAGAAGAGTGACCTACGTGCTTTTTCAAATCATCGGAAAGTCATTTTAAAAATCAAAATAACTCGATTTTGTTTTATAAATTTTATCTGACCGAACTATTTCTAGGATGCTCAACTTTTCAAGATAAATATTAAAGATTTCATCCGATCTATGAATTAGAATGAGATGACATATGATCATGCTATTTCTAAAATAGGAAAAAAATGAGTAGCCATCGAAGCCACAAGCATTTCTACGGTAAAGTTACAAGAAATTCGTTAGGAATATTAATGCTATCGTCAATATTTTGTTTCAATGTCAAACGTGTTAGATCAAAATTTGAATAAGATTCACCAATAATTCCAATACTAAAATAAACAATTTTATTGATATTGAGAAACTATATTGCCGTTTAATTACTTTTCCTTCAATTGAAATGTAACCTCAGGTAAAATAGATGTATGATCATCTATTCTAAATAGTAAAATTTATAAAAAAAAACAACAGAAACAGTCGAATCTATGAAATCTATAATACATGTTAGCATTGCCCAATGGATTTGGTGGTGGAGGTAAAATAAATGCATTTTTGCCTGGTGCCAGACTGTGAGAAAAATTAGGATTTCATTAAATTCTTTCCTTTTTGTTTTTAATAAGTTTACTTTAATATTTGTTTTTTAATAAGATGTTCTCTATTTATTTTTCATGAAAGACATAAACGCCACATCATTTCATATAAAATTAACTTACCTTTTCATCTTTTCTCTTGCACGTATTTTGCTATCAAGTTCTTTCACAGTTACTTGTGGATTTGTCTTTTTCTCTCCTACATAATAAACTTCAAACATATCAAGTAAATCTCTCATTGAAAATCATATACTCTTTAAATGATGATATTGTTCTTCAATAAGACTTTGATTTATGTTCTTTAATTGTTTTGTTAAAATACTATGAATACGATTCTTCCGTTGAGAAACGATGGCCTGATGTCTTCGACGATAATTTAGTAAATTAGTATGGAATTCCAATGAATGCAATTGATCATTTTCTTCGGCTTTTTCTATTCATAGATTTCAACGAATTTTAATAATAATTCAACTAACCAAACCTTGTCTAGTCAAGAAACTAGTGTACAAATCGTACATAATATAAACTTACTTAATAAAATCCTTTTCTAAAATATCTCTTGATCTACGTTGTTTACCCAAAGAATTTCGCTCCTGAGAAATTTTATTCCAATTCCAAATCATCGATTTCATACGCTCCGGGGCGATTGCATTAGTTTCATTTTCACTCGTTCTCGTGTGGGCAGTTTCTTTTGCGATAGATTTTGAAAACATTTCTGTACAATCAATTAGTTTATCATTTTTCATTCGACCTTCTAAACTCTATTTGCATATATGTTTAAAATTTTATTCATCCGTTTCATATTACTTCTTTCATTGGAATTCGAAGCATTTCAATATCACCATCAGCTCGAAATAGTCTACAATTCAGAATATCGAATTAATTTTTATAAAAAAAAAAAAAGAAATTTAAATTCTACCGAGCTAATTCATTTCGGATTAAATCGAAATTTTCTCGATAAAATATAATCCAAATAAAATATGTAGAGAAAATAAAAAGTGATTCATATATTGTTCGGTCAAGATATGTACACGAATAGAATAGACTTCACGGAAAAATATATTTCGAAATTTTTATCATTCATTTATCTTACTCGCCATTATGCATATGATGAAAATCTTTTAGATTAATACCCAGTAGTAATACAGAATATTTACAAGTAAGTTCACGTAGATTAATCAATAAATTAGCATATGCAATACGTATTCGATTTTTTTCTCTTTGCGAACGATCTCTATAGGAATAAAAATGGACAATTTTGTAGTTTTGAAATTGATTTTACATATATCGTTCGTTTTTTGCTGGAAAATTACTATCCATTATTTCAAAATACCAATAGAAATAATTCATTAAATATAAGAGAAATTCATTTACTTGCGGCATACTATTTAAATAGATCATTTTTTTCTTTTACTAAGATAATTCCTACCTGACATATTCTTCAAATTCAATAGGTATATAAAAAATTTCACTCATTACATTAAGCGACGCTTCTGAAAAAAAGAAAAGAAGATTTTTATATCTGAAACTCATTCGTACGTAAGTATATCGCATTAAAGAGAATTCGCTTCGAATTAATATTATTCTTTAATAAGATATTACAGTAAGCAGACGTATGCATCTGAACTGGAAATCTTTTGCTTTCTAAGATGTGATAAAAATTAAAATATACACATCTAACACCTTCTGTAATACTTATAGACAATGTGTTTTAGCTTGAGTCATTGTAGCATGTCAAAGAAGAAACGGAGTTAATTCTTTGTATAGAAAATTCCTACAAGACCTATTTAGTTATGCACCGCAAACAGCCTCTCTTGTAAAACAAAAACTAACGAATAACATCAGCAAGTGTAATTTTGTTATTATTTTTTGTTTTAATAATGTGTTGCAATGGTCGATTTTGTTTTCGATAATAAATAAAACCAGTTCTTAGATCAATCTTTAATGATTCATTGGAAGATAATTTTTTATCTTGATTCACTCGATTTCGACTTTAATCAGAAATCGATTAATCAACAGATTTTCAAGTTCATTTCCTACCTTTCATAAACAAGTTCTTTTCTCTTTTCATCCCATATCCATCGACCATCAATAGGAATAGATAATAACTAAAGATAAATATCTCAGATTTTTTTTTCTTCTTCTTATCTCTATTAATTAATCACCAACTTGATCAGTACATATCTCGGTTGATCTATTCGAATTTTGCATCATTTATTAACATATGATGAATAAAAATGCTTTAAAAACAAAACGAGCGCTCTTTTTGTGATCAATTTAAGTGTCTTTTTTTGTGAATAAATAAAAGCAGACAATGACAATCTGATTTATATGTACAAATACAATAGTATAAGAAGAGAACCACACAAATTCAACACCGAGACATTCGAGAGAAAAGGAAAAAAACAAGCGAAAAAAGAAATGGTTGTTTATACATCACTGTTATTATTTCAATAGAATAAGTGTCAATATTGCACATCGATAATTTCATCTTGTTCATCATCTTCATGTGAGGAAATATCTGCACATATTTCTTCGCTACTGACACTACTACTATTACTTCTTATTGTTGTTTCAAGAAGTTTAGTTGGTTGCTGACTAATCATTGTTGATGATGATGATACTGTTGATGATGATGATGATGATATATCATGCGTCTTTGAATGTTTTGATAAATGATCCGAACGCATAAAACGTTTGCCACATTTAGGACATGCAAAACGTTTTTCACCAGTATGTGTACGTAAATGACGCTGTAATTCATCTGAACGTGTAAATGCTTTGCCGCAGAATAGCCAATGACAACGAAATGGACGTTCACCAGCATGCCAACGAAGATGAGCTTTTAAATGCGATGTTTTACCATAGATTTTTTTACAAATATGACATATATGTTGACGTTTGGCTGTTGATGAGTCGGATAAACCATTTGACGGTTGATTTATACAATTTGGACAACGACAACGTTTACATCGTCGTGTTACTGAACCGAATAAACTTGTCGAATGTTCATTGACACTCCACCATTTATCTGAAGATTGTTTCATTGATTCTTTACGTGATGATTGAGATGAAGGTAGTGGTGGTGGCGGTAGTAACGGTGAACGAAATGCTAATGAAAATGAGGGTGGCGGAGAATTTGAACTTGATGAATTTGAATTGAAAGAAGTTGACGATGAACTATTTGGTGAATTCGATGAAGAAAGTATTGCAGCAAGTGAATGTGGATGAATTGGATGCGGCAGCAGTGGCGGCGGCGGTGGTGGTGCAAGTGATGAAAGAAAATCAAGTGCATTCAGAGGAAATCTTGTTTGTAATAATTGTAATGCTTTCTGTCGAATAACAGCTTCTGTATGAAAACGATCTAATGATAACCATGATGATGGCATTGGGGGTGGTGATTGTTTTTCCATTTTTGTTGTTGAAGTTGAACGTGGATTTAATGGTATAGGTCGAGCAATAGTTGGATGAGACATTGTATTATTCGTTCGATCCTTCAAAATAAAAAATAAAAAGTGAGTATAATTAAATAGGCTACACATAAATCATTTGACTACTAATTGAACGAATCGGAAATGGTAATACGTTGATTTCTCATTTGTCTATCAATCATACGCATACAACCGACGTTTTCTGTTCTTTTATTTTTTTTGAAGTTCCACCTCCGTAGAAGAAAAGAATATATATATATATGTATATATACGATCCTATGCATTTATTTCTCAAGTGGCTCGTCATTGCTAACGAGCTGAAAAAAATCCGATAGTGGGTGGGCAAAAAAAGATCAAAAGCAGACAAGCAGATCTCAATATATATATATATATATATGTGTCTGTATCAACTAATTTTGCTTGAACTAAAACAGCACGTGTCTAGTTGTCTTGTTGTTTAGGCTCATTATCCGATGCCGACATTCTCTAATGTGATAATCTGTTGGCGAGTAGGCCAAATTGCTACTGCATCTTTCTGTTTTTCGTTCCTCCTTTTTTCTGAAGATGACGACGAGGAATGTATTCGGGATAGTATCAACTTAATTGGGCAACAAGCGAAATGAGAGGCGGGCGGCTCAACTGTTTATGCATCAAAATGTGATGAAGTAGCGGTGCATATACGCGATTGATGATTAGTATGCAAATCGAAGAAAGCTTTAAGCTATGACTGACCGTTCGTTTCATCGTTGCTGTGATGATGATTTAGAACAGACGTGCCGTCTTGTAGCCCACAGATTTATTATTTTAAATATTATTTAGGTAAATAACTATCCTACAAGATATTTCTCGACAATATTTAGCGTGAAGAAGCTGAAGACTACCGCTTGATTAAGAAATCTTACGATTGATTTTCTTCACACATTCTAATAAAACTTACTATGATTAAGTTAGTGGATGTGGAAGACAGGTTGTGTGTCGGAATGAGAAATGGATGAGCCAAAAGGACCATTCTATTTTGTCTCTAATTCAATTGAATATAACATAGACACATATTCACGCCAGTCGATATTTTTCTCTTATTCTCTCTGTCTCTCGTTCTCTCTTTCTCTCTTCCTGTTTATAGCGCCTTTTTTTTAAATCAGTGTATCTATCTTTGACTCCGCCTTTGACACCATGTACAGAAGAAAGACGAGATGCTTATTTCTATTTCTCGCCTTTTCTCTCCTCTCTTTCCATTTCTCTTTCTCTATTAAAGAAGATGTTGTTTGATTATACGCGTTCTTTCTCGTTCTGTCTCTTCTGTGAACATACCGCCCTTCTTCTCGTTACGCATTGGTGTTCACGATCCGTCGATTTCTATTCGTATTGGCTGTTACGATAAGTAGAATGCGATATTAACCAATAAAAAAATAATCAGACATAGAAAAAGAAGAACGACAAAGAAATAATATACTTTCGTTCTAGTTTAATCTACCAAAGACAACAAGAAGAATTCGTGCAATAGAGATGCGCGGTATCGATCAAAGCGAACAAAACCTTAATCTCGAACCGATCCTTTTCTTTGAGCCGTTCGGTGTGTTGTTGATTCAAATAATCAGTCGTCTTCATCATCAACGTAGAGATTATCTTTGTCTGTGTATAAACAGAACTGTATAGAGAAAACTAATAAATGAATCAACAAGTATTTCGAAAAACATTCCGATTGAAAAGTAACAAAAACAAAATAGAAAACGATCTTTCTTATTTAAAACAGTCTTTTAATTTGTTGTACTTATTTCTTTTCTTCTATTATTTCTTTGACACACGTTAATGCACTTAAAAAAAAAAGTTCAAACGAAAATAGCGACACACAAACATACGTATATGAAGTGCCGGCAGTTATTTTGCTTCTTTCTCATTCCATATACGTCAAAATGTTCAGACTATATTGAAAGGCATATATACGCGTTCACGCACGCCGACTTTCATTCTCTCTCTCTCTCTCTCTCTCCCTTTTTTACCCCTTGATGATGAGTGTTGGCGAGTAGTCGATTTCAAAGACGAGCAAATATAAACAATTGGCAATTGAGTGTGAAATCGCGCACACACGAGTATTGAGCCGGTAGCATTCACGTTTATAATCATTGAAAAATCAATAATTTATGTGTAAAGGTCTACCATAAAACAAAATCAACGTGTCGTCGATGGGTGGTGTCACTTGCATGTCACATTTAGAAAGTGAAAAGAATGACGATGGTCGGTGCGTCTGCATGATCTTCAAAAGAGTTCATTTGACACATGTGTTGTCAATACAGACATAAGCATACATTTAAAAATTAGACCGATCTTCTTCACTGTCGAGAATTTTATTGCTTTTGCTCGCACACATTTGTCAAGCCTATTATCATCATCATCATCATCATCATCACCTCGTCGGCGGTGTTCGTGCATGCAAACAACACGTGCGAGAATTTTTTCGATCGGAACGTTTTATCTCGTGTCAACTTGAATTCATACATATAGCTACATATACTTGAAGTAATTATAATTATTGTATTACTATTCAAGAGTCGGTATTCTTTGAAGAATAAAAATAAGAAGAAATGAGCTACCACACCCTAAATCTCATTTTTCTTCCATCTCTTTAAAGTCAAATAACTAATTTTGACTATATGCACGCGTGTACACAAAAGAAGGTGTGAGATGAACCGCAGTTTCAATATATATTGAATCAGAATGAACTTTTCACTCGAGGGATTTGTTTTGACTTTTAAGAAGTTTTTGTTTTGTTTTGATCAACAAAACAGAAATAATGAAACAAAGCAACAAAAAATAAATAGAATATGATAGTTTTTTGTATAGAGTGGATTTTTTTGCTGTCTATCTTAAATAAGAATATTGTCATTGATACGGAAATTCAATCGTGCTTGAGAGATTCTAAACAAATCTAACAAGGAAAATGATGCGCTGGTGTACGTGCCGTTTTGATGTCAAACAGAGAAGTTCGTTGATTAGTTCATTTGCCCTGCCCTCATCATCATCACAGCTAGTTTGTCTATCTATCTAGCTATCTATTTATTCTGCATGAATCAAAGTTTTTTCTTCTCTGTCGGTTAAATCATTATGATCAGTAGTTTGCTTCATCGGTCAGCAGGAGGCCTGATATACATCACACGTCTTGTCGCACTCCCACTTGTCTATATAACTAGCCGTTCATTCTTTTTTTTGTCTATATTTGTGTGTATGTTGAAACAGGCGGTTCCAATCACGCCTTTCGTTTCGACCGCAAGGGGATAAGGCCAATCAAGGCAGGCGGCATAAGATAAAACGGACAGCAACAATACATACACACGGTCGCCCTTTCACACTATCATTCCGGTTGCTTGCTTTTGTGTTTTTTTTTGTCTTGACCATTAATATGCGCACACATACTAACGTAGTAAGCTCTTGAATGAAAGAGAAGATTAAAATGTAATGAAGAGAAACGCTTGAATCAATAGCAGTATAGACTAATAATACGGTTTTCTTCTTTTACTTAGAACTTGACCTTGGCAAAATTATCCATTCATCTAAAATTTTTTGAAGATTCATTTTCCTCTCCTGTTTTTTGTCTTTATTCGAATAAAAAGAAAATCTATTGATTCATTGAACTGGCATCAATTTATCGGATTAGGTGTGCAAGTACTTTCATCATCGTCTCAATTTCAAAAGTGCATCCTCTTCTTATGTTTCCACTTGATTAACGTCGGCGCGAATATTCTACATCCGATTTGAATTTCCTTTTTTTCTTTGCTTTTATTTCTTGAATGCCGTCATTCATTTCTACTCATTCGATCGGATGTGCAATCTAACAGGCATACAAACACCTTGGCTATAGCGTCGAAGAAGAAAAGTAGACAAGTAAAGCGGCATTACTCTCTCTCATTTTCTTTCTGTGTTTGCAACGTCTATCAACACTCGGCATACTTATCATGCTCGTCACTACCTGTCGTATCCCTCCTGCGCTTTCAAGAAATGATTAACGACATATGTCTTCCGCCAAAAGAAAATAGATCAAGGGAAAGAAAGTATTCATCAACGAAGTGCTTCTTTAAGACGACTACTTGGATAGCAAGATTATACAAGTATAAGCAAACGATCGGTCGTTTATCATTCATGCTCGGATAATGTACATTCAAAGATTTGATAAAATATATCGCGTTTGAGTTATGGAGGCAGCACTATCATGCAATATATATATATATATATATATTGAGTACAAATCAATAATAACTTCTCTCTCTCTCTCTATTTAATATTTGGTTTCAAGATTGTATTAATTAGGCTTCATCAATGTGTACGAAACGTACAAATAAAGAAAAGTTCATGAAATAAAATATAGTATACGAGAAAGAAAAAAAGTCTCAGAACTGCTTTTGTTGTTTTTACGACACATGTTAAAGGATCAATCAAGTGTTGGAAATGATTGCAGATATTAAATACCAAATAGTAAATTCGAATATCGGTTGGTTGTTCACAAAAAACATATTGTCTATAAGACATAGAAAATGTGTGTGTGTGTGTGTGTGTATATAAAAACTATCGTCTGTTTCAATGGTTATTTGTTTAAGGTACCGCCCTTCTCATGATGATTGAGCTTGTCAAAAAGTGTGATATCTCACGCTCGTGTTATTGTCTCTGATTTTTTTTTTCTTCTTCTTCTTGAACGGATCGTTTCGTCTATCGGCATGTTTTTATCTTTCAATGTATGTATATGTATTTGTGAAGTGTAAATGAGATCGATGCATGAGCGGCTTTGACAATCCAATAAGAGTAGTCTATGACACCTTCAAACAAACAATCATCTTTTGTATTTGCATAAAAAAACAAGAAAAAATGTTAAGTACCGACAAGTAGGTATTGAAACGAATACAAAAAAAAGAAAACACGAAATAATAATAGTCTCTTACAACTACGTAGAAACTTCTCCTCCCGTGGGGATGAACAATAATGATGAGAAAGATTGCTTTTTACTACCTGATTGCAACACATGATCGATGATTATGACTGGAAATTGTGACATGAATTGTACCTCTTTGATCGTGAACTATATGAATGATACATATCCTATGAGTTTTATTTTATAACGGTAATCAGAAATACAACAACAAAAAAAAACCGGAAACTCGTTTACGTTTTATTGTATGTGCATTCTAAAAAATTAATCAAAAACAACAGTCAGTTAAATTAGAAAGATAAGAATTCGATAATAATACATGAAGATTATTTTGGTTCTAGATGAGCTTTTTCAACTTTTAAATAACCAACTGGTGCTATGGTATCCGATGATGTGATAATTGTTTTTACTTGATCACTAAAAAATAAAATAGAAAACAAGAAATTCTATTGATTTATGAATTTCAACATTTTCATGATAACTGATTGTTGATTATTTTGAAAATTTTTCGATTTCGATTGACTTACAGAACAATTCGTTGATGTTTAAACAGAGAACAATCTAATGTTAATGTTTCAAATTCTCCACCTTCACCACAAACATTAATACCATATTTTTCAGCCTATAAACGAGAAATTTTGATATTTAATATTCAAAACAAAAGTAAGAATAGGAATAGAAGATTATATATATTTTTTCGAAGAAAAACTTTACTAACTAGTTGAAATAGTATTGGACGCATTTCGGCGAGAGTTTTCCCAAGATGTTGCTTTGGTTGTAAGCCTTGAATAAAAACGAATAATCAATTGTTCGTTTTTTTTTCATTCCATTTCAATATTACCTAGTGCAGCTGTTTTAATTAAAATCGCTTCTACATTTGATTCGATCATTTCATTAAGTAGTTCATGTTGATCACGTTGCCATATATAAGCAAGAACTTGAAGATTCAATCGTTGGCAACTAAATGAAGACAAATGACCGAGAACAAGAACTAGGTCAACATAAAAAGAACGATAGATATTTACACATTAGCGACACGGTTATTCTGATATTCGGAAAAAATAGCACCGACAGACACAGCTTCGATTGTATGCTTTTCCTAAAAAGAAATACGTAGTAATATAATATAAATTAGATTAGTCTGGACAACGAAACAGAAAATAGATGAGATCGAACTTGCCTTGATCTTAACGAGAAGCTCATATAAATCTTCAACTTCATCTCCATCAACGGGATGATTATATTCTTTATTTGTTGTTTGAGCGTCACCTTTTATTTCTGCTCGATACAATGGTAATTCCATCGCTTTAGCGAACAAATCAATGATTTCATGTCCAACACTTTGATACATATAACTATCAAGTTCATCTATTAAAAAAAAAGAAATCAGAAGAATAAAATGAATTTCAATTGAAATCATTATTACCAATATCTTTGTTTGGATGTAGATTTGCTAATGCTACTATTTCATGACCATGTCGAACACATTCTATCATATTATATGTACTATCTTTACCACCACTAAAAGAAGAGACTTGATTTTTTTATGAAGCGCAAACGAAAAGAAACCAGTCACCTTATTAAAGCGACCACATGCATTTTGAAAATCACTTCGTGAAGATTATCTAAGAAAACAAATAATTATATTCATGAACTTTTCCATTAGATTTAAATCGGAATGTTTGGTTTTAAATAAAAACAAGTCGAAACGAGTATTAAACGTGTTAAATTAACACACAACGATGTTGGTACCGTGAATATAGTTCTAACATAAATTCTTTGACGAAAATCATCAGCATCACTCTAGCAGTATTATCATTCAAAACATTCTCAGGACTAGTTTTTACTCGAAGTTCACTTTCTATAATTATTTTTACTTTTCAAATTTTACCTCTTGGAAAAATATTTTCGTAGAATAATCAAACGCCTTCAATATATTAGAACTCTCATATCTTGAAGATGAAAACACGAACAAATACTTTTCATTGTTGTTTTCCTTCTATTTAAGAACATTGAAAACAAAATCTCGAACATCGGTCATTGTAATTTTGCCCAATAGAGAATTACGAATACGCACGCACATAAAAACAAAAAAACTTATTCGATTCTCATAAAAATAAAACAAAAGGAGAATCATTGTTGCAAGAATAAAATACATCTACATTCATGCTAGTCCGACAGAAAACAAACATAACACAAAAAATTTGATCTAGTTTCTATAAGCAAGACAACGCATATAGAAAATTACATAAATACACAACGAATCAAAAGTTTTTATTTTTTAGCACCGAAGTTTCTTAAAAATACGAACAGCATATAGAAATATATTTATAAACATTTAGATTTTATTACAAAAAAGAAACAAAAAAGAGAATTTGGGCGATGTTGATTTTCTTAATTAACATTCACATTTTTTCGAGCTGGTACGTTGATCTGGTGCTGGAATTTCAAGTCGCGGTATAAAATCTGGTGTAATATCATTCTCTTTTTCGCGTACTAATGCATTACGTGCAACTGTTTCGAAAGCTTTTTCAACATTGACACCGTCTTTAGCTGATGTTTCAAAATGAGGAATATTCGTTTTTTCTAAAATAAAAACGAAAGCATAAATGTTTCTATCAAACTTTTCATGTCTTAGTTATTATTTACCTGAACACCAACTTTGTGCTTTACGCGCTGTAACCTAAATCAAGAGAAAAGTTTAACAATAAAAACACAAATTTCAGTATCAATTGAAACTCACCATACGATTATCAAGATCCGTTTTATTTCCTATCACCTGCACAGATAAATATTTGATATAATGAAAATAGAGTCCAATTACAAATATTCACTTACCACAAATGGAAAATTTTCTGGATCACGTGGTCCAGCTTGCTAAAATAAAACAAACATTTGTTGAAATTAATTACAGATAAAAAATACACTTACAATAAGAAATTCGTCTCTCCAACTATCTAAGGATCTAAATGAAGTAGGCGATGTAACATCATAGACAAGTATACAACAGTCAGCTCCACGATAAAAAGCTACACCTAAACTTTGAAAACGTTCTTGACCAGCTGTATCCCAAATCTTAAAAATAAAACATAGAGAAGCATGAAGATTATTTTCAAAAGATTAGGAAATATTTCACCTGCATTGTTACAAGACGATCATCAATTTGTACTTCTTTCGTTAGAAAATCTGCGCCAATCGTTGCTTTATATTGATTAGAAAATTTATGTGAGACAAATTGTCCCATTAAACTTGTCTTACCAACACCGCTATCACCTAAACAAGAGAGATTATTTAATTAATTAATTAATTAATCCATAGTTTTATTTCATACCTAATATAATTACTTTGAGTAAAACTTTTTTTCTTCCAGCCATTTGATGTGTTTAGTATAAAGAAATGATATCAAAAAAGAAAAATACAATAATATCTAAACAAGATATAAATGTTTTTATCTAGATGTTTTATTTGCTCTTGTCTTTCTTTATTTTGAGTCAACAATCAGCACGTCATGGATAACGTATTAGGCAGATTCAGAAAGTTCTGCTTTGATGACACATCAAGGAACATTCCATTTCTTTCCTGAATTAAAATTGATTGTTTTACCATTAAAACGAATCATAGAATATGGGGTCAAACAGACCAAAAAAATAAAACAGAATTAAACAACGTGATTGGTTAATTCACACTTAAGTCATCTTTTTGAGACGATTTAGTGGTTAATTCTGTTTTATCTTTTTGGTCTGTTTGGGGTCTATGACAAATATTGGCATCTTTGTTTACATCTCTGAAAACAATATTTATCCATCTGATTCATTTCAATGCGTCTGTCGAAAATAATTTTTTTACATGAGATTATTAACTGCATGTAGTAGACTGTCATTTACTAAAAAGATGACTTCATTCATTTCTAATTCCATCCCTCCGATAATATTTACTCAAGTAATTAGAGAACTACAGAGTAACTTAGAAAATCCACCTCCTCTAGAAACACTCACTTGAATCCTTTACAATTTAGTGGCTTACAGTATGCAGATCTTCTCAAATAAACTTTTTAAATCAATTTCATTGAATGGAGAAAACCAACATTGTTGTTGTCATTAAAATGAGACAATCTCTAGTGAATCATTCATATGAATAAATAGAGTGACTGACTGACTACGACCATCATCAATCAAAACTAAAAGATATAGCGGCTTATCCTGGAGATGTCGCCATCTACAGTAAAACATTAGGATATTGCATTTCTATTTTAAAAAAAAGGTAACTAGTAGTCTTGTCTTCTTGATTAGCATTGAATTTAGAAATATCCGACAACGGTAAATGTTGTGACCATCATTTAGAGTATAATGGACAGAAAAATCAGTCCATACAAATCTACCCAGGTCGAACATTCTGGTCACCGGATCCCGTAGGATACTCCAGGAAATATGCGGGAAAGTCACCACATCCTGCAGGAAAACAAAGAAAATCGCTGGAACATGGAAGCAGTATTCCGGTCAAAAATACGGCCGGCCTTTTCCGGAGGATTCCTGCCAAATTCCGGTGCTTTCCGACAGGAATTGATCGAAAATCACCGGAAAAAATCCGAAAAATTTCCAACCAGAATACTGCTTCCACAAAGTCAACGGCACTATCCAGAACAGGCCGTTTCCAGACCGGACTGTTCGACCTGGGTACTATTCTTTTGTGATATCTTGTGATTGATTTGAGATTCTACGGCTTGCCCTATACAAAAATGTTTTCCATGCGTCTCTTTATCAAATATCGAATGTGGATGCTAATTGCTTTTGTTTCGCATAGTTTTACGCATTCGATGAAGAAAACTAGCATTACAAGAATATGAACAAGATTTATTCGGATTATATTTTCAGAATGCTTTAATTGAGATCAAGGGAAAAGATGTATAATCGTTTAAAAAGTTCATAAAATACAGTTGATTAAAATCAAGAAAAACTTTTAAATGATACGTGTGGAAGTGTACTTCAAAGTCAATAAATATTAAATGAATTACTAACACATTTACATTTCTTTCGATTTATATTCGTAGAACTTTGTGATTTGTATTGAATCATGATAGATTCAATTGTGAACAATATTCTAATTATTCAACTTTTTCTCTAGCTTTATTCAATCAAATACAACATACTATTGGAAAAATGAAAAAGGCATAATTCAACAAAAGTTGCACTCAGTGGCGGATCTACCAGTTAGGCTATCCGGCGATCGCGGGGGGGGGGGGGGGGGGGGGGGGGGGGGGGGGGGGGGGGGGGGGGGGGGGGGGGGGGGGG